AACACCATTATCCATCTTCTTCGTCATCCTCTTTCTTTAGATCCAAACATCCTTCTACTGTTCTATTACTAAAGACAGGTGCGTGTGGTTAATCTGAAATTGGGGGAGAAATTGTTTCGTCTCGTGTGGTAACGGAAGGACGACTACAACCAGAAAAGAGCATTTGCAACTAGGTTATCTCTTCCTTTTTGTTGTTATTTCTAGATGTTTTCCTTCTTTTCTTCGCTCGAATGGGTCGAGGGCAGTAAATACTTCACCGATCACCCATTGTGAACTCCGTGGACACAAATCTTCGGAGGAAGACGGTGTACAGTATCGCTGCTTAACGCGGACAATGCGGTGGTGCCTCCTTCTCTTCTTATTCCTGTTTTTCTTTTTCTTTCTACAACTGCCAACAACCAGTCATCCAATAACATGCAAAGGTACAGTCGCAGCCACGGTTCTTCCTATCTGCATATGTTGCGCGACGACGTAAAGCGAATCCGCGTAACTGCATTCTCTATTATGCCGATCCGCTCCTCAATATTACGTCTCTCTGAATTATCCTTCGCGTTCGAGCATTGCTCGTTGATATGCTCTTGACACACGCAATAAATCCTCCGTTAAACGGTCTATCGAACTTTACAAACATCCGCTCTCCTATTTATCCGTTACACCTACTTCCTAGAACCATATACATTTGACGTACAGCCTTTCTTTTCTTATTACAACATCAATTGCTCGGTATAACGCTATTATGTAACAAATACAGTTGAAAATACAATAGCATTTCATACATTCTTATATCATTTCATCCAAATTGGTAATTAAAATAAAAAAGTGTATAAAATTCTAACGATTCACATTAATTAACCTTTCCCAGACAAATAAAAAAAAACCACTTTTACATTCAATGTTACCTTTTAGTATACTTAGTGTCGAACCTTTTGTTTATTGGCCGCCTTACCCAATTAATACAATCAGATAACGACAGATTACATTTTCCAGTCCATTTTCCCCTATTAAAATTTTACAACTACTTGTTTTAATTTTAAGAATTTTTCTTGTTTTTACTTTATTACAACTTTATCCGTTTTTCCTCTAAATATTAATTAACTATAATTTCTATTGGGTAAGTTTTTAATTATATAAAATATTTAAAGAGATACTTTGTTTCGTATTTAGTACGGAATGTTATTTCTTAAAATTAATCTAAATTTTATATATTTCTTAAAATTAATTAATTTAAATTATATGAAATGGCACAATAATTACAAAATTAAATAATTATTGGTTAATTTATTAGATTTTAATTAAAATATAATTATTTCTGTGGAATTCACTTGATAGAAACTAATTTACAGTTTAAATATTTACGTAATTCACATTACCACAATATTTTATTTTCGGTATATTAACTAAACTAAATATATTGTTTAAGGGATTTAATAATATTGAAGTTTGGAAGGTTAAGTAACGTCGGTGAACTCGTCGGTTACGGGAGATCAACTCACTGTCGGTCCGAGGTTGCGGCGTCTGCCCGAAGACAGAGTTGTCGGTAAACAAACGTGAGAGAGAAAAGGGGGTCTCACTGGGCCCCACTTAGTACGCTAATAAAGGACCTGGTGAGATGCTGACAACGGCTTCATCAATCAATCTTTTCCACATCTCTAAACAACCGCCTGATTGTCTTCCTCTGCCGTTTTACGTTAACATCCTCATTCGTCTTTGCGAACTCACCCTTTGTTTTTATCTCATTCATTCTTTAAATTTTCCTATACCAAAAACCATCATTCCTTTATCTTATTAATCATATTTATTTCATTTCAAATAATTAATTCATAAATATTAATTAATGAAAGAAATATATAGTGATTTTACGAAAAAAAATCACATCTTCACTGTAAATTTAATTATTAATTAACCATACATGCCAATTAGATTATTTAATAATTAAATTAAAAAGAAAACTATAGCCTTTACAATAAGTCATCTCACAGATTGATTTAGCTTAAAGTTTTTCTATAATTAATTAGTAAAATTTGGCGATTTTTTTTTTATTATATTCAAAATTTTCAGATTTCTTTTTTATTTCATAATTGACTTTTTTCATTAATAACTATCAATTAATTATTTACTTTTGAATGAATAGTTTATAGGATACGTTTACTGAATGATACATAATTTAAGCTATAGAATTCATTCGTTTGTTGTGTAATGGCATACATGGGAATTAGATCATTAATAATTAAATTAAAAAGAAAACTATAGCCTTTACATTAAGTCATCTCACAGATTGATGTAGTTTACAGTTTTTCTATAATTAATTAGTAAAATTTGGCCATTTTTTTTATTATATTCAAAATTTTCGAGATTTCTTTTTTATTTCATAATTGACTTTTTTCATTAATAACTATCAATTAAATTATTTACTTTTGAATGAATAGTTTATAGGATACGTTTACTGAATCATACATAATTTAAGCTATAGAATTCATTCGTTTGTTGTGTAATGGCATACATGGGAATTAGATCATTTAATAATTAAATTAAAAAGAAAACTATAGCCTTTACAATAAGTCATCTTACAGATTGATGTAATTTATGGTTTTTCTATAATTAATTATTAAAATTTGGCGATTTTTTTTTTTAATATATTCAAAATTTTCGAGATTTCTTTTTTATTTCATAATTGACTTTTTCATTAATAACTATAAATTCAATTGTTTACTTTTCAATGAATAGTTTATAGGAAACGTTTATTGTATGATACATAATTTAAGCTATAGAATTCATTCGTTTATTGTGTATATGGAAAAAGCGTTTTTCATTATCTGAAACCATCAATTCTCATTTGACTTAAATTCTTCCAAAAATTTGTTTAAAGCAGTTCTGTGTGCATAATAACAAAGTTGATTTATTGTGGTATTGATATGGAACATAACGCATCATTTTCTCTTCCATCCTGTATACATTTCTCTCTCTTTCTCTCTCATACACACACACTTCTGTTCTATATACACGTGGATGTCCATGTGTGTGTGTATCTCGCACCACGTTTCATGCATAATACATTGATGTGAGTGTGAGGGGCCATTAAAGCAAGTTTGATTTACAAAACCATAAAATTGATTTATTGCCGTTAATGTACAGTGCGTTAGGTAAAACACAAAAGGATCCGAATGACATAAATCCTCTGGCCCCGATCTTTGTAGCAAGCTGTCACTCGTTTCGCTGACACTCACAATTCCACCCTTGGCTCACTCGCACAAACTCCAACCAACCACCCAGCATCTCTCTCTCTCACACTCACACACACACACCCTCGCCCTTCTCCCTCACTCTCCCAGAGCAATGCGATGATATATTCGAAGTGAGCAAGGATGGAAGAGCGAGAAGGACAAACACCCGTTCATACCGACATAAATCGGGTCAGCCCCAATTTCGCACACACACAAAACGTGTTTCGAATTAACCAATTAATTATTTACGCACCTTTCCCTTTATTTTTCACATCTTCCATATGTCCGATGACCCATCAACATTCATTCCTGATGAAAGAAATCACAGTTTTACAAACTGTAACTTACATCTGGATTTAACCTATTATAAATTGCTTAATTATTTCAAAATGTATTGATTATAGAAAATATATAAATATTTCCACTTACCTTTCATATTTTTATTTTTTGGGAAAAGGATATTTAGTGTTTGTTTTTTTTTTTTTTAAATAAAAAGACAAGGATAATGTAACTCCTCAGTATTGCATAATTTTTTTTTATAACATATATTTTTATTTGAGCTTTTCATTGCAATCAAATACAACAAAATAATTAAATAAAAGAATGAATTTTCATTTTTACTCGTCTCGTGAGAAAGGGACGCTCGCAGGCGTCCCTTCGCTCACTCTCTCTCTCTTTCATAATCTCACTCACATCATTATAATTATTATAATCATTTATTAATTTTTATTTTTTTTATATAATTTTTTCGGAAAATTTTGGAAAACAAAGAACACGAAAACTTAAACAGGAAAAAGAAAAAGAAAAATCGTTTTAAATAGAGCCATATTTTTTTTTTTTGCCTTGATTATTCAGCTATGCGTATACATTATTTTTTTCATCATTATTTTTATTTTTTTCTTGTAGTTTACATTACAATAATTATTATTGATAAATACTTCTCGTTTGTCTTCTTTAATTTAATTTATTATTTTATTTTATTTTTTTTTTTTGTTCAATTTTTCTTAATAATTTATTTAAAAATCCTCTTGGAAGAATGAGATATTACGGTAATACGTATACGAATGTTTATTTGTTTATTTATATTTTTGTCTGTGTTTGTTTTCTTCTGTTTTCATCGCTTTCAGTCAAAGCTTACAGAAATATCCGTGGAATCTCTTCTACAATATACTTTGTTTTTTCAAAACTATTTAGTTTACAGTAGATTTTCTTTTTTGAGAGGGGGGCTGGGGTTCTGTTGTGTTGGAGAGATGGGGGTAGGGGGGGGGGGCAAAACTAGTCACTCACTGTACATGCGGCTTAATTAATTTAATAGTATACATCTTAAATACTGACTTACTAAAAAAGAAGTTTCTTGTTTGCTTTATAATTATGTTTTTTTGTTTGTTTTCGTTCGTTATATACAAAGGGGAAGGGGGATTATGACTTAAAATTCGTATAACAATTGAATCACGCCAGAATTATCATCTTTACATCGTCAACTTTACAAAGTACAATATCACTAATTACTAAAAAAAAGTTTTTCTTTAACTTTAATTTTATTCTGTTATTTTAATATTTATAATATTTATATATATAATTATTTTTTTTGCTGCAGCAAGATATGATAACATCACAAAATATTTTGTGTTTTCTTTTCGTGGGGGGGGGAGTGTTGCGAACTTGGAGTTCGGCGCTTGCGGATTTCCGCTAATTATTTTGTTATTTTTTTTCTTTCTTCATTTAAATAATTAATTTTTTAAATAGACTATTCATTTTTCCTTCTGCTTCTTTCTTTTGTTATAAAGAACAAAACTACCTGTACAAATAGTAGGAATGCTATGGAGAGAAATTTGTGAAACAAGTGTCCTTTTTATACAATTTCAATGCACTTATCACTACACGTATTTACTGGAGAGTTGTTTGGCGAGTTCCGTGTACTTGAGGAATTTCGAATGTGGACTCTCCTCGAAATTGGTCGGGGGACTTTTGCTGCCGGTGGATCCAGGCCCTGAGGAGCTCGGAGTAGGCGTAGATTTGGTTGGGGTCTGGCTGTTGGAGGTGCTCGGAGCGGATGGGTTCGTTGCGGCCTTCAACGCAACGGGATCCGGGATGACTCCATCTTTAACGAAATGCATCTTCGAGAGGTGATGACGATATGCGCCCTTGGAAATGAACGGAGTATCGCAGAAGGCGCACTTCATTATCGAATCGGAGGTCATGACGGCATCGTTGCAGGCCCAACTGAAGGCGAGGATCGCGCCTGGAGTTGAGCTGGATGTTGTCGAAGAGCTGGACGGCGTGCTGGGTGCCGTCGATGCAGCGGCCACCGACGAAGAGGAGCTCCTGTTGTTCGTATGATGGGTTTCAGTCTTGTCGCAGAGCTTCTGAAGGGCGGCCAGAGGATGGCTGCTTCCTCTCTTGCCGCTCGTCGGTGTACTTTCGCCACCTCCGCCGCCTCCTGACAGGCTATCAAACATCGAGCTAAGAGCGCCCAAACTGTTGCCGGTCTTCCTATCACCGTTTGTACTTCTTGGCGTTCCGGACCTATCACTGCTTGCGGGGCTGCAAGTGCTATTCCTACATGGACTCCTCTCATCCCGTTGCGGACTGGTCAGCTTCCTATCGTCCACCTCAACCTTCTCCTCCTTAACGCCGTTGCTGTGCAAACTATGCTTATCATCTTCCTCGACGTCCTCCATCTTAATTTTGATATCTTCATCTTCGATTTCTTTCTTTATGCTGATTTCTGCGACGTCCTTCTCTGAGCACGGCGATTTGTCCCGTTTATCTGGCGTCGAGCGAGGCGTTGAAGCAACTGGTATCCCAGGAGGTTCCATTTTTCTCTCCGGCGTCAACGCTTCTATCCTTCCTGCGCTGCCCCTTTCACTGATTGAGCTCGATTCGCTTCCGCTCCTCTCGCGTCTCCCGTAGTTCTGCTGCTGATGGTAATTCCTCAGAAGGTTCATTGTTTGAGCATCCACCAAAGGTTTCGTGTAGTCAACGCTCTCGTCAATACCCAACCTCTTAAGTATACTGCTGCCCATGGGAGCAGCCGCTGGTCCTGGGAATGAGGCGTTCTGCCTACCGCGCGAATCGAAACTCTTCTCGATCAACTTCTCAATAGCGTTCAGAACCGATGGCGATGATCCATTATTGTTCTCGCCTGTCTCTTTAGTCGTTTCAATGGATGGGGATCGCAATTGCGGCGATGGGGACTTCTTAGCCTTCTCTCTGCTCTCCGGCGGAAGAATATTATTGGACATGAGCGCGTTCTTCAGGAAATTCCTCTGATTCGTACTCATACCGACGCATTGCCTGATGTGATCGACAAACAATGACGTCTCGATTTTATTGCCACACTTCTCGCAGGTTATCCTACCCGCTCCCGTCTGCTGGTTCTTCTCCAAGCTTCCGTTATCTCCATTCTTAAACTCGTGCTGCGCCCTCTCAAGCTCCAGCAGCTTCCTCACCGGTAGTGACTTCTTTCGCTTCTCACGTGTCTGCCGCCTCCTGCCACCGCTCTCCGTTATCGATCTCATAATGTGCTCTTTATAATGAGAATTTTTGACCATGTGATTGCTGAGTTCCTTCAGAGAGCTGAAGGCTTGATCGCAGACCTTGCAGGTTAGTACGGCGCTCACGTGACTGCTTGCACTTCCCGGGGGACCGCCGGGGCCGCTACCTCCGCCCCCGCCGCCCCCGCTCCCGTTTTTTGGATCGTCGCTGGACCTCCACGAGATAATCTGCTCCTGCGAGATGATGTTCGTGTAGTGCTGCGTCTGCTGCATGTGACTGGTCATCTCTGCAAGTGATCGGAAGCTCTGACCGCACCACATGCACTTCAGAATCTGCCGCGTCTGCTCGGCTCCTTTGCCCAACCAAACATCTTGTCCACGCACCAACTTTCTCGGCAATGGCATCGTCTCTTTGATTAACAGATTCAGATCGGATTGATTAGGTTTGGATGAGTTCGAAGAGGACGAAGACGTGGTTGTATTCGATGGTGATGAAGTCTGAGGTTGCTGAATGCTCTGTTGCTGTTGTTGTTGCATTGGAGGAACTGGTACATTCACACCGCAGTGTTTCGCTTCTTTCATGTGGGTGGTCATCGCCGCGAGACTCGGAAAACTTTGTTTACACCATACGCACTTCAAAACATCTTTAGCTTGATCCGCACCTTTGTTCAACCAGTGCGATTGCCAAGCTGAATGCCGACTTGTCGCAGAATTCACTGAAGAACCGCTGTTGGTCATGGAACGGAACAAGTCTTCACCGCCGAGTTTACTTAACTCGCTCATCTTCTCCAAAGCTTTAGTGGCATCGCTTGGAGTCGGAGTATGCTGCTTCATCTTACCATTCCACATATCAGGAGATGGATTGGTTTTCGGTGACAGACTTGCTGCTGCAACTGCCGCCGCAATGTAAGGCAGATGGGATGCTGGTGACGACCAATGAGGTAGCGCTGGTTTAAAATCGACCGTGCGTTGCTTGCGTGCCGGAGGTTGCGAGCTTGTGTCTTCGGAACTCCTCTTCCGCGTCGTCACGGACAGATCCAAAGGACTGTTGAAGGGTGTTTCACCGCTCGGAGGCGTACCCGGTTTACTCAAATTTATCACATCACTATCGCTCTCGGATAAATCACTTTTCGAGCGTTTGCTAAAGTCCAGGATTCCATCGCCGGATGGAGACTGCATGGGCAATGGAGATGACGACTGATTGATTCCTCCTGGAGGCGAGGACGACGAGGAGATCAGTGGCGATATCGAACTTCTGTTGATCGAATGCGACAAGGGCGAGGTCATCATGAGTCGATGGGAGTGAGCCACAGCAGCGGCGTTGAGGTACGCGGCCATCGCTGCTGATTGTGGCGGAAGGAGGGCGGCGGCTGCTGCGGCTGGAAGCGTCGGAGGAAGAGCGACACCAACGGGACTCAAGGCCGAAGCGGCCATCGGCCTGATCAGTCCGCTTCTATCAGAAAACATTGACTCGCCTGAAGGACTTCTCGGATGTTCACTGGACTCGCGCGATTGACACCGCGGACTGCTCAGATCTCTGTAACAAAGGAGGTACCTGGCTTGAATACAAGTAAAAGAAAGCACCGCTATTTGCTCAATTGAAGTGATTTACGATTTTCTGGTAAATAGTGAACGCAACAAGGTGTCTTGTTTACACATCCTCTTTCTCTCCCACCCTAATGCATACATGCGCCGTTAACGTTAAGTAAACAATGAGGAAATTAAGTGGCGGCTCATCAAATGGAAACAATTTTTAAATTACTTTTAAAAAATACCGGTATTTAATATCTAATAGAAATATGTATGAATTTAATTTTTGAAAGAGAAAAAGCAATTACCTGTCTGTGAGGTGATTAGGCATGGATGGGTCATCGGTGAGAGACCTAGAGCTGCGGGGAGAGGCCAAATCTCCGGCTGGTGGCGAGCTGACGTCTTCGTCGCCTGGTGTTGGAGACGCTGCCGACGTGGGCGTCATCGAGCCGGACTCCTCGTCACCTTCAAGCTTGTCTCCTTCTTCCGGGGATCCCTCTTCGCCACCTTCCCCTGTAACCATACAAAAAAAAAACGACCAAATAAGTGAGAGAGTCATGCAGGGCGTGTTTCCCATCCTATGGGAACGCTCGGGGCTTCCGAGGTGAGAAATCTTATTTCAGCGCCGCAGTAATCGAAGCCCAGACACGTCTAATGAAGTTTGCCCTGGCCTCATCAACAAAACTGACCGTTGTTTGGTTTGATTCCAAGTTGGATTAATATACCCCCTTCCATCCCCCTCGGAGCCGTTGCTCACTTATTCGCACGTACCGACCGATGCGGAAATTAATCACCTATGGTGCCACCAATGCCAATGTGCCGATTGCATAAAGTAAGTCAAAAACTAATTAAACTAAAGGCACGAACAATGCTCGTATCAATCAAGGAAAAGTTCTGCTAATGAAGTGTCTGCGCCATCCCCATTGTCGTCGACGCCGCGCTGCGAAGAGATCGAAGAGTGCGATACAAACAATAATAACAGCTCGATTAGAATATTCTGGTTAATGTGCGGGGGAGGGACACGTCCTAAGAATGCGATGATGACACATTAAGAGGGCGAAAGATTTCTCTCGCAGATACCGGAATTCATCGGAATTGCTTATGCCATTTTCTGAGTTCCCTATCGCTTATTCATTTGTTATTAACTTGCTTTTATTTGAAATTTGCATCAATCTCAAATACTTTTTTAAGAAACAGTATTACTTAAGATAAAAGTTTTTTTATGTTATCAAAGCTACAGATAATACAACATCTAAATGCCATTTGCAGATGCAGGCAGATTCATGCCATTTGCTGCATTTTTTGGTGGTTTTATTTTGGAGGGCAGGGTTGGATTCGATGGAGAGCGCGGAAAAGGCGGGGTTGAAGGAGCATCTCGCTGACCAATGATTTCGCCGCTCATGTAGATGCAGCAGCTCCGCTGAAACTAATTACGCTGATTTATGTTGCCATTGTTCATTGTTGCTCCGTGTTTGGACAGCTCAGAGACATACGTGCACGCCCCTGTTTGGACGTCCATTGCGACCTCCCGCCAAGAGTTCAAGACGCACACGGGAGTTGACACCGAGATGTTTATGCATTCCGACGACCGGTTAAGAAGAAGTAGAAGCTGAGGAAGAGGACGTTGTCACGGTTCGAAGGCAACTCCCTTTCATTCCTGTCCTCCCAATCACGCATACACACACTGCTACTCCGGCCCTTTTTCAACCTCTCTCTCTCTCACACACTCACTCGCCTTGCTACAACTCTTTTCTTCTTATACAACTTCTTCTTCGCTTTCTTTCCATTCTTGTACGCCGGACTCTCCGCTCGAAACGCACACCATACACTCGCCGATGCTATCAACAAATTGTTCATGTTAAGGGGCAGTTACATGGACGATCAGCTTCCACTCTTTCTCTTTCTTCTCTTTATCTGCAAGTACCTTAATTCTATAAATTGGAGGAATAGAGAGAGAAGGCGATCTCTGATCACGCTTTAATACTTTTGACTCCCGCAACATTCATTAGCCTGAGATCTTGATATTGGCAGAGCACAACTCGTGCGCTCACTCTTTTCGCACAGATTCCTGGAATTAAATTGCGGACGTTGCACGACGTACGGACATACCGCTCAGATAAGCCCTCAACCTGAAAAGCCTCACCCCCTACTGCATTCATAAAACTCCGCGAAGAATGAAAGACAATGGCCTATAAATCAGAGGGGGATGAGGCATATTGTATATAAGCGCAACCCACCCCCTTCATCACATTACCCTCTGTACAACTCTCTCTCTCTCTATGTTTATATATATATATACAAACTTATTAGAGCCATTACGGCACGAGCCAATTAACCAAATTGCCGCGCTGGCTAAGCTGGAAAATGCTCGGAGGGTGCCCGAAACATACACACACATACACATTTGGAAACCACCTTTCCGAACGGATGAATCCACAAATTATCCGAATCAACATTAAACGCTCCTTCCCTAATCAATTTTCAAATAATAACGCAACGCGCAAAAAAAATGAAATCAATTACACGCAGACAACAACAATTCAAACTCCATCAGTTTTCACCGGATTCAATTTGTTCTGCCTTCCAGCTATATTGCAAATTGTATTATAAATTTAATTGTTTAGATTTAGAAACTTTTCTAGATTTAGTTGTGAATAAGCAATTAATAAATATAAATTTGTCATTTATGTTACTCACTTTAAGTTATTTTGGTACACCTTTGATATTTTGAATGATTCACAATTCAATCATCAAATTTTATTGTTTCGACATTTAAAGAGTAACAATTTGAAAATAATAGATTCTAAACATGATAATACGTAATGTTCAGAGAGCGTCACGTAATTGGTAACTTTAATTGTTGTTTAATCTTTACCGCCACGATGAAACGCATATCATTATTTAGTTAAGACTTTTCTCATATATTCTTTTTTGTTCGTGCCGAAGAGGTGTGTTTGTTCTATTTAGGATATTTGCGTTGCGGGACTGTGATTTGAGAGGCGGCGTCGGGATTGAAGAGATTGCATTCGATAAACAGCTAGGTGTGCTGTACGGGACCACCCAAAGTAGCGCAAGGGAAACGGGAAGGGAGAGAGAAGAAAAAAAAAGATAGAACCTTGTGGTCCGGAGACGCGCATCATCCTAAATCAATAGCAGTCGATGCGTCCTACGCAAATACCACTAAAAGCAGTCTTCTGTCGTGATGAGGTGGATGGCCATACCTGTCCACCTGCTTCCACTCGGGTTTGATTTATTGTAATTATCGCGGGACGCTCACACACACACACATATACTCTTAACATCAATCTTAACTTAACTCTCTGCCTGTCACTGTCAAGTTGACAGGGAGGCCCTTAACTGTATATTAAGTGAGCGACAAGTGATGTTCCTGTTCTCTCTGTCTTTTCATCTCTCCCTCAGCATCCTACATCATCGTATCTCTATCTATGTACTCGAAAGGTTTTCCATATATTAAACGGTCGCTGAAAGATCGTGATGCAATAAAATCAAAGGCATCCCCAATTATTAACATTCCCGCCGCGGTAATTTACACCTGCGTCCAACAATGGGGGTCTCGAATAGCTGTGCACTTTTCTAATTGCTTTTGTGTGTGCATACATGTACAAAACACAACCTGGAGGAGAGCCGTGACCTTACGAGCTCCGATCCTTAGCGCTAGGTATGTTAATGGTGACGTTAAACGGGCCCGTACATTCTAAAATCTAAATAGAAGTGTAATTGCGCTGTAAATCCGCCCGAATTCCTGCTACCAATTTAACATCTCAATCAGGAATGCCTTCTCGACATTAACATCGATGATCGATCGGTTCTCGTTTTTTTTTTTTTTTTATTATTGCTTTTGCTTCATATTTTTTTTTTGTGTTTGTATTAAATCGGTTGTAATTTGTTTCTGGGTGGATGGACGAAGGTAGGACGGTAGTCTTGCGGGTGAAGACGCGAGGCGCACGTGCCTCGTTGACCCTTGACACGGATCATTTGTCCAACCCCGGGGGTTCTTCGGTCCTCCGCACACACTCCACTCCTGCAGACATCATTATCATTAATGCCCCGTTCAATCACGGCTCCGATTGAATACTCCTGGCCTTTTTGTATATGCTCACTGCGCCAGCTCGTCCTCTTCCTCGTGGGTACTATACACCATTCTTCTCTCTTTTTTTTTTGTATATATATATATATATATTCCTTCTCGGCTGTCGACCGATCCGGGGATGTTGACAGGTGACGGATTGCTGCATTCAGTTTGCTCCGCTCGCGTGAGATGAGTGGGCCTTAATTTATAGAGTGAGTGTTGAAGAGTCAGCGACGGGTGGTAGATCACGTTGCCATCTATCAGGGCTTGGTGGGACGCTGTGGGAAGTTGGGCATCACCGCCACCTGGACCTCCTGCAGACGATGATGGAGGACGGAAAGATTCCACGGCCAGACAATACGCACGTGTTGCCAATTATAATAATTCCACCTTTACTCAAATAAAACTCGCTTTGATTCATTGAGTTGTCCCATCCCGAACATCCATAATTCATCCACTTCATCTCATCGTTATAGATCAGCGGTCGGGGAACTTTTTTAACCATTACCCCAAAATATTATTGCGTAAGTTGATATTACGCCCCCCCATTCTGAATTCACGAAACAATCAATGTAAATTTTAAATAAACATTATTTATTGAATTAATTTGCATTTTCATATTTATAAAAAAAAAGTTACATGAAAATAGTAATAGACAAACAAAATAAAATTCTTAAATTGGAACAAACAAAAATTAATTGAAAACTTTCCTCCTTCAGGTTTTGGAAAAATGATGTTGCTTCATGTTTGATATAATTACTTTAAAATTTGGACTTTTTGATGTAAGAGCAATTTGAATACAGTCTTCGGCGTTTAAACGATTTCTGTTTTTCGTTTTTATTTTCATTAGAGTGGAAAAGCCTTGTTCACAAAGGTAGGTTGTTGCAAATGGCAGCAATTTCTTTACCAAAAAGACGACAGATTTGCTTTGGTCTCAAATTGAATACGTGCTTCAGTATTGGATCGAAGTTTAAGAATTGCCTCTGTCAAACCTCTGAGTTTGGTAAGATGAAATTAGAAAAATTTCCCTATTACCCAAAAAAAAATAATTTTTACCCCATTTTGGGTAATTTACCCCGGTTCCCCGACCGCTGATCTAGGAAGTAAAAAAAAATAGAAAGTCTTGAAGTGTAGTCTTGAGGAAATGTCGATCTTCTTTAAGGGAGTTTGGTGAATATTGGATGCATTCACTTAACCTGAATTGAATGGTAGGTAAATGTACATGTCATCCATTTGGGAACGACGAGACTCAACATCCGGCATGCGACAGTTCTTTATAGTCATTCGTGGCAGTTCATTGACTGATCCGTTCGTAAACACGGGCGATTCTTCATTCGAATGAAGCCTTCTCCATTTCAGTTGTTTATTTACAAAGCGGCGGTGGATTTTTACGAGAGGTCCAATAAAAATCTGGGCC